CCAACGTTTCTAAATCAATCCGTTTGTTTTCACTGAGTTTCTGTCAGACGACACGCTGGCTGTCAGACGCAGCAGGAAGTTGTGCTGTTACAGTGCAGATCAGGAGATCCAGCTGCTGTGAGACACAAACTGGTCCGTGTTTCTGTCAGAAGCTGAAACTCGTCTGTCTGTTGGACTCAGCAGTTCTGGCCGTTTGGGGCATTTAGCTCCAGAGGATCCTGCTGTTTTAATCCCCAGCGGCGCTGAGGTTTGGCTGCTCCAGTGTTTGTTTTCCACCGTCTGTCTGCAGGTTGAGGAAATCACCTTTAAGAACTACTACACCGCCTACGTTACTGTGCGCTTGCTGAGGAGGGCTTCTGGACAGGACGGGCCGACCAAGTGGGTCACGGCTCTCAGAGACCTGCCGCTGATGGACAACCCGCACACAGAGAGAGGCTCCCAGGATTACTACTCCATCCACAGGAAGCAGGTGGGTCAGACAAACGGGTCTGCTAACCAGCAGCTTCTGGCTCAGTCCAGGTTTATCTGTGAGCTCCCACCGAACCAAAGTCCGAATGACAGGATCATCCTGGCAGCGATGAAGAGTCTTCTCTGGTTCCACTGGGTTTAATGTCTGCTTCTAATCGATCTGATTGGATGCTGGAAAACATGACTATTGTGTTCAAGTTATGCTAAAAGGAGTTAGCCCATCAGTGAAACTGTGCTAGCCTAAAATAGCATTTGAATGCTAAAGACGTAGCTGCTAACGCTAAACTAAAGAGCTTCCTGAAACTCTGGAAAGATGAATGGAAAGAAAAACACTTTGATGGTGGAAGAACAGATTAAAAACTATAAATATATTTGATGTTGAGCTCATATTTGTAGTTATTCAGTAGTTTAGCAGCAGAGGACCTCAGGCACCACAACAGGGGCCTGTACTTTCTCAGGTCATGTGACATTAGCATGTCCACCCTGATCGACTCCAGGTCCAGGGTTACAATTATTTTACTCAAATAAAGACAGAAACTTCACGTTAACTTGATATTATTTCCTACATCTATAAATGTTTCTATGTTTCACCTGAACTATTGTTTATTTTTTATGTTTTTTATGGGATGATATTTAAGGTGGTATTTACTGACCGGTCCAGTTTTTACCAGTCAGTAGATTTAACAGTTCAAGACTTCATAAAGATATAAAACATGTTTCTCTCACACAGATTGTTGGTTATTACATTATTACATTCTTTGTTAAAATATGTCCTTTACATGTTCAGAAGAAAAGTTTGTTTCCAGCCGCGTTTCTGTTTAAAACATCAGATTTGTGACTTATTGACAGTTTTATTAATAAGTTTATTTAATTCCCTCCATTATTTCAACTGAATACAATAAAACAGATGAATTTTTTTTGTTTATTTGATAACTGCCCAGTTATTCAACTCAAGTTAAGATATTATCCTGAATATGTAGACCAGACAGATATAAACTACATGGTATGTAAATGAATTTATCTGATAAGTTTGTCATTTTAAAGTTCTGACAGGAGATGAAACCAGAAACAAGCAGATGATCAGATTTTAAATCTCCCAGCTTGTTTTCTCCATCCTCACTCAGATCTTCATCTGTGAGATTTTTACTTCATCCTGAGTGTAAAAGTAAGGGAACATCCTGTCGCTGAAGGTGTGTGTGAAGGTGTGTATGTGTGTGTTCGTGTCCGGATCAGAGAAGGACAGATTTCCTCCGTCCCAGTCCAGATCCACTCGGATCCTCTGGATCTTCTTCTGGGCTGACAGATCTGAGCAGGAGCCTGGAGAACAAACTGATAATCCATCTTCTGTTAACGTCAGTCCCCATAAACCAGGCTGAATGTTTCGCCTCCTGTGGACAGACTCTGCCAACACACCCAGAGTCCAAACCTCACTGCCTCCAACGTCGACATCCCAGCTGTGGATCCCGGAGTTAAAACCCTGAGAGCCGAGAACGGACCACCAAACGTCCAACCGCTCCGGATTATCAGGAAGCTTCTGCCTCTGACCTGCTGTCACAACGCTCAGATCGTCAGACAGCAGGAGCTTTGGATGAGCCGTGTTTGGGTCCAGAACCAGAGGAGTGTAGGTCACCATGCCCTTCATGTTGCTCCAGATGTTGAAGGCCAGGTTGCCCAGATGTTTGGCCTGGTCTATCAGAGCTCCTGAGGGCAGCTGTGGATCCTCCAGCAGGGGGCAGCGCTGGACTCTTTCCACTGCAGCCTTGTAGTTGTGCAGGAATGAGACGTCTGCAGCTCTCAGCTCCTCCTCTGTGGCTCTGCGTCTGAAAGAGCTGCTATCTCTCTGCTCAGAGCCCCCTCCATCTTCTCCTCCATCATCCCTCTCTTCTGCTCCTCTTCCTCCCTCAGTGCAGCCAGCCTGGCCTCCTCTTCCTCTGCTAGAAACTGATGAAGCTTCTTAAACTGCTCCTTAATCTGCCTCTCTGTGTGTCGGGCCTGGACCTCCAGGTGTTCTGCTGTCTGATCAAACTCCTCTTTAACTTCCTTCTTCATCTCCAGTTTCCTCTTTAAAGGCTCCAGAGATGTTTTCAGTTTCTCTCTGTTGCTGAGCAGCTTCATCGATGGGCCTGAATCTGTGCTTGGAGTGTTTTTCTGAATCTCTGCAGACGAGACAAACTGGCTGCTGATGGTTCAGACAGAAGAGTTTGAGTTTCTCAGAGTGCAGAGAGCAGAGATCCGTTGGGATTCTCTGGTCTCTCTGCTGTAGGAATGATTCACACAGGTTCTTCAGAGCCAGATTTAAAGTCAGTTCCTCTCTTGAAGATCTCCTCTTACAAACTGGACACTCTCTTGCTGGTTCCTCTCTCCACCAGTTCTTCAGACACTCCTTACAGAAGCTGTGGCTACATGACAGAACAACCGGATACGTAAAGACGTCCTGACAGACCGGACAGCAGAGATCCTCCTCTGATCTGGAAGCCATTTTGTCTCTGAGTGAAGCTGAATCTCAGTCAGTCACGGCTCCCTCCCTCTCTGCGTGTTTTTATTTCTGTCCTGCAGCTGGATTTACTCAGATGAAGCAGTCAGTTTACTCTGATGGTGAATCTGGTCGTCTCCGTTTTACGAGCTGCTTCCTGTTTCCCCTCAGGTGAGTCAGAGGGGCGGAGCTAAAACCTGTTCGACTTCCTGTGAGAAGCTTTGTTTAAACCTGTAGCTGAGGTTTTTCCTTCCTCTCTTTGTACGTCTGTCTGAAGCTTCATTCAGGCAGCTGAGCTTAGTAACCACAGTGAAACTAAGATGAATGTTTCCATCGTTGTGCCATAATAACGGAGTGTTGTCATCTATTGTGAGAGCAGCATTAATATCTGGTGAAGCTCAGTGTGGCTCATTAGTGATTAATGTTAATAACTGACTGATCTGCCAGCTGATTGGTTGATGGACAGACAGACGTTTTTAGACTTTAGGAACTGAAATCATCTGTTTTAGTGAATTTCTCTGACTTGTTGTCTCCACAGGTTTTTAGTTTTCTGTCGTGCTGCGTTCACTGTAACCTGGACATTAACAAACATTAAAACTCTCCACACAAACTGTCATGTTTGAAATGCTAATTTGGAAATTCATCTTCTTCAGTCCCATTTCTCCAAGTAGAACTCCAGTCATTGTTCAGAGAGCTGAGGTCTGCAGTTTCCCTGTGTATCTTTTTTCTTCCAGTTCTGATCAAAACTGAGTAATATCACTGAGGAAGTAATGCTTCCTGCAGGACAAGAGGCTAACTCCAGACTAACTCCAGACTAACTCCAGGTAACTCCAGGCTAACTCCAGGCTAACTCTTGGCTAACTCTGTGCTCCTCCAGATGCTGGTGGAGGCAGACCACGTGGTTTCGGTCAGGCTGATCCTGAGGCAGCCGTCGTCCGCCTGGCTGACCTTCAGCTTGGAGGAGATCAAAATATTCCCCCACATGGAGCCGGTCAGTCGTTACGTTTTCCTCTCTGTATGAGTTATATGTAAGTTGTTAAGAAGAAAAGCAGATGTATTATTATTATTATTATTATTATTCCTCTTGTCTGGTTCAGGAGCCCCAGAAGGTGGTTTCTGATTGGCTGTCTGACCTGATTCTGGTCGACCCACTTCCTGATGTGGAGGTATGCGCTCCGTCCCAAGCGGTTTGAGTTCCTGATGGAAACCTCTGAAGGGTTTTCATCTGGTCTGTGTTCTGCTGGACGTCCTGCAGGGCCTCCCGGACCCGCACACCGTTTCCTCCAGCATCCAGCAGATGTGGGCTCTGACCGAGGTCATGCAGACCAACCAGACCACAGCCTCCATCGGACGCTTCGATGTGAGTCCTTCGTCTCCGGTTCACTGTCAACTCCAAGTATCGATCCCTGGGAAACAAACTGAAAACAACTTTCCATATTGAAATGTTTACTTTGGTAAACAAACAGCCTCATGAAATCATGACGTTTTTGAGAGGACTGTTATAAGAACACTGGATTTTCCAGAGTTACTGTAAAACCAGACCTCACTGTGTGGTTAGCATGGAAATAAGAGCAGATCAGAGGTTATCCAAACACAGATCCCTGAGGAACGCCTCTGTGCCGCCGTGCGAGGCTGAAGCCGCTCGGTGAGCGCTGGGTTGTCGGCAGGCTGGTGACGCTCAGCTCGGTTACAGCCTGGCAGAAACAGGAATCTGGAAATAAACAATCGGTTGTGTGTTTTGTGTTCCTGCAGGTGGACGGATGTTACGACATCAACCTGCTGTCGCTGACGTAACGCGGCTTTCAGGGCAACACGCACTTCCTGTGTGGAGACAGAACACCAGGAAGCCGCCTGCTGGTTTATCACTTCATGTCATCATATATGATCTTATCACAGCACGAAACATGTAATTCAGTGTCAACGTAAGAACAGTGAACCAAACGTTTAGCAGAATAACTCCTCAGACTTCAGTCCTGATCCTGATCCACTTCTGGTTTTATTTTCTGTCATTTTTTCCTCTTTAATATAAATTATCTTTTCTTCCACGTTTGTTTTGGTGTTACTAATAATTCAGACATTTAAAGACAAATAAAAATCATAAAACTGATCAAGTTAAATCCATTTTTCACATTTGGATCCTAAATGAGGAAAAGCCAAAATGATTCACTGATTTACATAATAAAAGATTTTTGTTTCAGCATAAAATATCTAATGTTGCTCTTTTTGAGCAAATCCAGTCGAATCTTAGATATTTATGTTTTCACTTTCAGGGTCAAGATGAATATTAAAATCCTCCACATTGTCGATATTTAACAGTAAATCAAGTCAGAAATCTGAGAACTGATCCAAAGACGAAGTCATGACAAGTCTGATGACGTCATGGTGTGGGCGGAGCCACACACCTGTTTCATCTGAGAAAATAAGCTGCAGTTTGATGGAGGATGAAAGTGATGAAGAAAAAGAAGAAACATTTTATCTCCAGTTTTCCACTCAATTAGATTAGTTTACATATTTTTACTCAGGTTAGGATTACTGATTCTTTGTTTTACTTATTTCTGAAAGTTAAGAGTTTCTGCCACCTGACATTTTCTATTACAGGTTTAGGCTACAGAAATGACTGGAAGTCGATGGAAAGTCCCCACAAAGACCCTCCTGGTTGCTCGTCCAGCAGTCGGTGTTGGTCTGTGGATCCGGTGGATTCGTTCTGCAGAATTCTGAATAAAATCAGATTAAAGGTTTTATTTTTTTCTTTTGGCCAGAAAACACAGTTACTAGATTCATTAACTGAATTCATGCGATTTGCTTTGCCAGCAGAAACAGAAGGTGTCAGGGAGTTCAGCTTGTTCTGAGTTCAAAGGTCACCGTGACATCACGGTTTGCTTCCTGAAGCTCCTCCTCTTCCTGCTCGAACCGAGCTGGGTCATTTCTGCCAGACCGTCTCCGGTCCATCATGGCTGCAGGTCCAACAAACGCAGACAGCTTCAGATTCCTGACAGGATTTTTCTGAGCTCGTTTTGTGTTCAGTTGCTCTGATGGAGATGTTCTCATCAGATGAACAACATGTCAGCAGCTTAGACATCGGTGTTGTTTCCTCCTGACAGAAGACGTGTCGGGAACGCAGCCGCTGTCCGTCTGCAGCTGAATTGGTTTTCATGCGGTGAAGCTTCGTCTCTTTCTCATTAAGTCCTGCAGTCGTTCCTCCTCCTCCTCCTCGTTCGCTTTGATTTGATCTTTCTAACATCTCATCACTCAGCGCGCTGAGCGATGCCGCTGCAGCTCCTCACCTCGGAGTCATGAATCATTTATTCAGATGAGTCTGACAGCCGTGTCACCGGCCGCTCCAGCACCGACAGGAAGAGAGAGCAGCTTCATGCTGTGACTGGAATAACTGCAGAGACGAGTTTCACCCAGCAGAAACTTTACAGTTATTATCTTCTGGACAAAATGCCAGGATGTTCTCTGTGAAGGGGCAGTTATTGTTGTCAACAAAAGCAGGAAGTGACGACTTTCCATCCACCCATTAATCCTCATTTTGTCACGTCTGACTTTAACCAGCTTCATGTATTTCCTGGATTCAAAGCATTGACCACTGAATGGAGTCAGATTTCTGTGTTCAGTCGAGTTTTGGTGATTTGTAGGTTTTTATTGTCGACTGAAATATTTTATGTTATGTATATTTATGCACATTTTACTGCAACGTAGTTTTTTGTGCATTTTTGTGCAATTCCAACATTTTCTGGAATTATCCAACAAACTACCGACCAGGGACAAATGACTGCAGTTAAACTTTCATGTTGTTGAATGTTTGAGTAAAGATTCAGTTCCAAAACCTAAAGACCTTCTTCCTGGTTTTTATTTGTGGTTATATGTGCGCTGCTGTGAATAAAACAGATTCTGACCCTAAAAACGAGTGACGGACCTGAAGCAGCTGATCTGATCTGGACCAATCAGAACAATCCTGAGTCTCTGCAGAAACCACCGGATTTAAACCAGATGCTGTTTGGATGTGATGGACACCAACCCAGGTGAGCATCAGTAAAACCTCATGACTGCTGTTCCAGGTACCACCAGCAGAGGGCGTCGCCGCTGAAATCTGCAAACCTTTTCATCTTTTGAACACGAATTTAAGTTGTGAATTTATTCTGAGGTGGTTATTATTATTGTTATTATTGTTAAAATATGACAGCAGCTCTCAGATAATAAGAAATGTCAGTGAAATCCTTAATGTTACTGATTCTGTCTGACGGCTGCAGTGAAGATGGAATCTGTGAAATGGACCGGACCGGTGAACCCGCTCAGTGACTTGGATGCAGCAGAACCGAATCAGTTCACACTGTTTTCTTTTTTTAATCAAATATTCATCAGACACTGGTTTATATTTTTTCATTCTTCCAGGTATTGATCAGAGCAAGACCCGATTCTGATTCTCTCCTGTTGCTGCAGATGAAGCTGATTTCCGGGAGTCACCACACGGTGGCGCTGCTGCTCCTCACATCAGACCTGCGCGTCAACATTCCTCCACATTTCACCATCAGCTTCATCCTGAGATTCAGAGAATCAGTTCTGCTTTTTTATGTCCAGATTGGTGAAAACGCAGAAACTGGAGACACCTGGGGACACCTGGAGACACCTGGGGACATCTGGAGACACCTGGGGACATCTGGAGACACCTGGAGACACCTGGGGACATCTGGAGACACCTGGGGACACCTGGGGACACCTGGGGACATCTGAAGACATCTGGGGACATCTGGAGACATCTGGGGACACCTGGGGACACCTGGGGACATCTGGGGACATCTGGAGACACCTGGGGACATCTGGGGACACCTGGGGACATCTGAAGACATCTGGGGACATCTGGGGACATCTGGGGACACCTGGGGACACCTGGAGACACCTGGAGACACCTGGGGACATCTGGAGACACCTGGGGACATCTGGAGACACCTGGGGACATCTGGAGACACCTGGG